CGATCACAATGTAATAGCTTTTGATACCAACTTCTCATCTGTGAAAAACTACTTCCTGCCATTTCCCAATTTCTACAAAGCCGATTATACAGAGATAAACAAGGCACTTCGCCGTCTTAGTTGGATGGATATTTTTGCTGGGTTTGAATCAGTCGATCTTATATATAAAGCTGAATGTCTGTTTGTATGTCTGTCTGTATGTATGTATGTCTGTCTGTCTGTACGTATGTTCCGAATAGAAAATTCCATTTCTGAACCGATCCGGACCAAACTTGGCACACATACACTTCGGGCCTCGGCGCGTGTCATAGGCTACTTTTCGTCATCGATCGATATCGATTTTATCGATTTTTATCGATTTTTTTGCTGAGTTCACCTACGGGGCTGGGAGTTGGCACAGGGGGGTAATCGAGCATGGGGATTCCGAATGCAATATTGGTTTCAGGATTATCGATTACTTTTATCGATTTTATCGATTTTTTGAAAATTTGAGCTAGGGGGCTGGAATTTGGCACGGGGGTGTAATCGAGCATGCTGATCACCCCCTTGGGGATGATCAGCATGCTCGATTATCCCCCTGTGCCAACTCCCAGCCCCCTAGCTCAAACTTTGCAAAAAAATCGATAAAATCGATAAAAGTAATCGATAATCCTGAAACCAATATTGCATTCGGAATCCCCATGCTCGATTACCCCCCTGTGCCAACTCCCAGCCCCGTAGGTGAACTCAGCAAAAAAATCGATAAAAATCGATAAAAGTAATGGACGATCCTGAAAACTAATTTTGTATTCGTAATCTGCATGCTCGATTACCCCCCTGTGCAAACTCCCAGCCCCGCAGGTCAAACTTTGCAAAAAAATCGATAAAATCAATAAAAGTAATCGATAATTCTGAAAACTAATATTGTGTTTGGAATCCCCATGCTCACTTCCCCCCCCCCCCCCCTGTGCCAACTCCTAGCCCTGTAGGTGAACTCTGCAAAAAAATCGATAAAAATCGGTAAAATCGACATCGATCGATAACGAAAAGTGGACTGTGACACCCGCCGGGGCCCGAAGTGTACAGTCGAGTAGATTTAGCGGTAAATATAGTGTGCTTGCACAGAAGGTGAAATGCGGTGAAATTTGCGCGTGAACAAGTAGCCACGTCAGTACCGCGGGTATCTTGCTCGCGCAATTGGCCGGCGTCACAGTCGAAACTATTTCTTCACGCGTCAATTTTACCGCATTTCACCTTCTGTGTAAGCACACTATATTTACCGCTAAATCTACTCGACTGTATGTGTGCCAAGTTTGGTCCGGATACGGCGGAGCCGGGTAAGCCAGCTAGTGATCTATATTATCGTTTCTGTTTGATCATTTACGCTGTACTTGCTAAATTTGTTCCTTTTACTTTCAAAAAAACTGTATTACATGCTTACCCTCAACACATTCAAAACTTGATTGAGCAAAAAACGTCTTTTCTCTATCCTCCCTGATCCTCTTACAAATCATCTGTACCAGGTTTGTAAAGATTTGGAATATCATCTCAAAAAGTTCTTGAAAAGTAATGAGCTTCGTCTGGCAAGCCGGGGCAACAAAGAATTGTTTCGATATCTCAGATACAGAACCAAAGGTAATACCAAACTACCGACTTTGGTGGATGAATATGGGATGTCTTTCAGGAACGACAAAGAGAAGGCAAATGCTCTGGGAAGATATTTTGCTAGGGTGTTTGACAATGACAATTTTGAAAACCAGGATCTATCGAATCTGTCTCCAAAGGTCACCTTTGTTGCTACAGCATGTGATGAGATACAATTCAATCCTGATACAGTATATGAAGTTTTAAGGAGACTGAAAGCTGTTGCAACATCCACATATGATGGAATTCCTCAGATTGTTTTAGAAACTGTGCACGAACATTGTCCTTTCCCCTTTCGTTGATATTCTCAATGTCTCTACAATTTGCTAAGGTGCCAAAAATATGGGAAGAAGCTCTTGTTACTGCTATCCCGAAAAAAGGGCAACAGAACACCTTGTCAAACTATCGGCCCATAAGCATAATGCCTCCGGCGGGAAAAATCCTTAAAAAAATAATACGAGCTAACTTTATGACTGGTTTGATAAAAATAATATCCTTCCTCCTGAACAACACGGGTTTTTACCGGGCTGTTCCACCACAACCCTACTGGTTGATTCTACTTTTGATTGGATAACTGCTTTAAATAACGGACAATCGGTAGATATCATATACTTTGACTTCTCAAAAGCTTTTGATAAGGTAAATCATAGCAAACTTCTATACAAGCTAGAAAACTACGGCATAAGAGGGACTCTCCTGTCTTGGTTAGCATCTTACTTACATGATAGGGGAATGACTGTTCGTGTTGGAGAAGACTTTTCAGATCGTTATCATTGTAGTAGTGGAGTACCCGAGGTTGGCATTCTCTCACCGTTGCTTTTTCTTATTTACGTCGCGGAATTGCCTAACTATCTGAAAACCCATCCGAATTTGAAAATTCAGATGTTTGCAGACGACATTAAAATATAATTTTGCTACGACCTCAATCAACAGAGTGAAGCATTCGCGGCGGTCTCTTCATCCATAAAAAGGATGGAGATATGGTCTAGAGAATGGGGTATTCCTGTAAATGCCTCCAAGACTATGGTAATGCACCTTGGGAATTCCCAGTGTTGTACGTAAAATTACAATGGTATCAATCTGGAAATCTCTAATTCAGTTCGCGATGTGTTATGATAGAGAATTCTCTTACTTTTGATACTCATGTAAATACTGTCATAAAAAGGTCGTCTTCAACGCTTTTTACAATTTTTAGAAATATACATAGTAATGATCCGGAAATTTTCTTGCGATTGTACAAAAGTTACGTGTTACCTCATCTTGAGTATGCATCGCCCATTTGGAGTCCAGTTTCAAAAGAAACATTGATAAAATTAAAAAAATTTAAAAGACTTTCACGAATATTCTTTTTTATCGATGCTTTCCCAATCCAGGATATCCTCATGCCTTACCCTCCTATCGTACCCGTCTCGATATGTTACACCTCCATAGTCTGAAGTATAGGCGTGTTGTTAACGAACTTGTACTATGCTTTCGGATTCTGAATTTAGAAACTAACCTAAAAGCCAGTAAATACTGGTTTTTTAGACCGTGCAGTGACCGGGCAGGTAGGTTTGGTTTGCAATATCGCAAAATAGGAAGAAAACATCTTTCGATGACTCTCAATTCCTTTTTCTATCGAACATCAAGATGGTTTTCTGCATTACGAAATCATATCATATCCCTTGAAAACTCCAAAATTTTTCGTAAAAAATTGTTAGATGTGAATGTGCTTCAGCTTCTTGATATTTCTGATTTTTAGATGGGTCTTGTTCAAATGTGGTGCTTGCGTTCTTCGTACTGCCTCAGTTCGTCCTTCTATCATTTGACGCTATGCTTTCTGCTTTCTGGTTCGCTTCGCTTGGATAGTCCACAACAAGGATAGAGGATGACTGCTATTTGCATTGTTTGTTGTGTTACTAACCATAGTGTTTCCACTAATGATTAGATCAACCAGCCTCATTCACAGCATATCCCTCACCGTAGCCCAGTTCCACCCCACCTCTGTCGGATATCAGTCGCGCATAGTTGGTAGACGTTCACCCCTACAACTTCCGGTGAATCTTGCTCTCTTCTAAAGCAACTATTCAACCGGGGTCACGTCAGCTAGCTTTTACCGGGGGACTCGCTGACACCCAAAAACAGGGTCTTCATTAACTTTAGAAGAAGCAAGATTCCACAGATTGTTCTGGACATAGCGCTTTTTTCTTTGGTATGCTGCAATTAATGGCTACATCGTCATTATGGAGCTTCGGTAATTGTCTTGTTTAGTTTTGTCTCCCATTTATATCTCTTCTTCCTTCTGTGACTGAGGATTGGCTGGTTCTTTGTCTTAATTCTGTTTTACCTTGATTTTTTGTTCGATTTCGATTTTTTTAATGGTGCACCGCGAGTGTATACATAAAATAAAATAAAATAAAAAAATAAAAAATTGAAGCGGGAGATTATCGGGAGTCGCGATTTCGGGGCGCGCTCCCAGTGTCTGAGCGTAAAGGATACTTGCGTGAAATACGACGCATGGTCAGACTACCCTCAATATCCACATATGTGTTTCCAATCTTACAGGCAAGAACACTGTCAATATGTTGTCTAACGGACAACCTCCGATAGGATCTTGGCGTTATCCAATCTTGAACTCGGACTTGGTTTTCGAAGCTGCTGTACGGTGGCTCTAATTGATCTTTGTATATGAGCGAGAGTCCCGCCGGTGATTGGATCGCGACATTATCGGGACTCCCGCAGGAGCTCCCGGTTTTCTCAGTAGGAAACACTTCGGGGCAAAAGCGAGTATCGCGCCGTATTATCCCGAACAAAATGCAGGAGTCCTGGTTTTCTCGCGAAGCATTTCACTTGAGTCCCGCAGTCATTCCGTCGTGACACACTTTTTCACCAGAGTTGGAAAAGATATTGAGGATACAACTCTTATTGACCTCTATAACAATGTCATGGGCACAACTCTTTATTTACTTCAGATACAACTTCATTAGCCCTAGTATAGAATCACGACGCTGCGATCACCAGGCAAATTGCACTTTACGAAAGCACCAGAAAAAGAAAGATCGGTGTAAACAACTCAAGATACTTTTCTGAAGATAATGGTCTCTAACTGAACTATAGTGAGTTTCAACTCGGTTTAGGGAAAATTGGACTGGCGGGAGTCCGCTTCGTAATGATTCGCGCCGCTTAGAAGTGTCCGTCTCTTCATTCTAATCTGTCTCGCTAAGCCAGTGGCGATGCGGACGCACTGCTGCAGGAATGTTTCGCCTACTCCGGGTTGAAAAAGACTGTATATATGTACTGCGATAAAAATTCGATAATTCATCAAACTCTATCCTCTATCTGTTCATAGCAGCTAATGATTGATAGATCTCAATGTTCATAACAACTGTTTAGTGTAACTATGTCACTGTAACACTTAACTCGTTTCCATGATTGAACATAGGTTGCATCAACCCTTTTTTTAATGTTCCTTCAGACTGTGCACGTTGCCTTGCACCGACGCAGTCACGTGGATCGCAAGGACAATTGCTCTAAAATAGTTGGCTGGAGCTCAGAGAATTATTTTGCTGAATAGAAACACCATAAAAACCAGCTGCAATAGCATGAAGTGTCTTCGAAAGAAGATAATTCATACTACTGTCATACGAGAAAAAATAGGAGATAAAGACCAACCATTTCCATAACACCCTTGAGATGACTTATGACGCGACGCAGATACACGAGCCTTGTCAGATCTCGTCTCAACTCGTTCATCACCTGCAGCAGCACCTATAGTTATAGTTCTGGAGTACTAAGGGTGCTTCTCTTACGTCGCCTGACAATGAAGAAGCGTTGGGTTCTTGCTTTGTGGTAGAAATCTCGTCATTTGATTCTTGTTTGATAGTGGTCACTTCGACATTGATTACAGGATCCTAAACATCACGTAGATTTGCACTGAAGCAGTGCCTGGAAAAGGTTGGGAGTCCTAGAATGAAGACGGTGCCCAATGGATGCCCTCGCCACGCCATTGCGCAGCTCGAAATCACAACGTTGGACTATAAATAAGATAGAAGCTTAGGAAGTTGGGAAACGTACGTCCCAACAAGAAAGTAGGGCCAGCTTGCATCTTCCTCCCTCAGTGATTCAGGCTGGGTTCACACGACAATTCGAGCGCTGTGCAGAATTGTTCCGCAACTATGGATAAGTATGAACTCAGCCTCGGGTGTAGTGTATGGTGTACCCTTTGATTCAACTGGCTTGGCGGCTGGCAGGCAAGGCTTCGTGACCTAACTGAGGCTATGTAATGATCAGAGAGCACGCGCACGGGAGAGACGCAGACTGCGTAACGGCCGCGAGCGGCCTTAATTAGGTCACAAAGCCCGGCCTTCAGTCACCAACCCACTCGAATCAAAGGTTATAACTATAGATGTAGTAGAGATGTATGGATGCGCCATTAAGGTCATAGGGTTGGAACGACTCTGGTCTTAGCCTTGAGGAAACTGTTCCACTTCTCCAAATTGGTTAGACCATACGTAGCCGAAAGGACAGCTGCATAGATACACAAATCTTATGCATGCAGGTGTATACTTGTTGCAGATTTTTGCGCGGGACCTCCCTCTTTTGGCGACAGCCCTTATAGCCTCTACCTGTCCAAATTTGGCGTGGGGGCAGTGCGTACCCATGTTTAGGGGAGGAAGGCACGACAAAAAGTTTTTTGATTAGGGGTGCCTCCCCTCCGAAACGTTTTACTGAATGCTCCTCAAAACTTTTGGGGTCCTACAACCCCGGGATTGTAGCAAGGGGGGGGGGACCTGGTAGGCACGTTCCAGAAAAAAATTTCGCAAGACTAATTTGAATTTTTCAGAAAAATCAAGAAATTACTTGATTATAGATATAAACCAGGCACTTACACATTTCTATAACTTTCGTCCCCTTGGCACGCCACTGTTGTAGGGGATGTACCCGCCATTTTGAGGCCGCCCTCGTTATGAACTGGTCTTTTTGCAACGTAATTGCAGGTCGGAGCATTAGAAGTCCGCGAAGGCGCTCAAAATGGCCGAATTTCTGATAAAGGGCTGTAAAGGCTTGTTCTCGACGCTTTCGCGCTTTTATGATCTACGGATTTAGTAAGGCGGATAAGCACAGGCTGATAAAAAGCTCCAATGGCATACTTTTCAAGCTTTTTACAGACGGGAAGCAGCCGGGTCCAAGCGATGCAAACACGGAAGACCAAGAGCAGGGGACGACACTACCCCTGAGGAAGATGACAACTTAATTAGGAAGCCTATTGTTGTAATCTATCGGGTCTTCGGAACTTCCAAATCTGCGATTACAATGCCTACTGATGTAATCTATTGGGGTTTTCAAATCTGTTCGGACACTGCCTCATTACAGAGCCGTATACAGGTAGCTTTGATTTTAGTGGGACTAACCTCTGTGCAGGTAGCGCTCTCATTATCACATTCAGCCAGACGTGTGTCATGTTTGACAAGCTCCTCAGAGTCGAAGTGTTCGTCTGACTCTAGTTTCAACGCAACCCTCTAGAAAAAACTTGTTGATACGGTCTGACTGAAGATATGGCCGATAGTAATAAAAAGAGCACGAAAATAAATGTAGTTATAACCTCCGGCTTCAACCAGTGGTGCAGCACACTAAAAATATCTACAAAGTGTCCCAAAAAGATGTGCACACTGTTTGATCTTTAATAACTCTCTTGCTTTCACATCTTTTACCGAGCTTGAGGTGCCATTCTTTAGAGCGAGGTTCAACTTAGATTTAGAGTATGGAGCGAATTATCAGTTGCTTTTCATTACTGTAGGAATACGGTAGGAACTTCGAGGAGGATTTCAAGCTATTAAGAGCGATATATTTCCTCAGCAAGAAAGCCAAACAAGCCAGAAACTCTTGAAATGGATTAGTCGAAGTCGTTGATTCTAAATATGAAAATTGCGATTCAGTATAGCGCTTCTTTCACGAGTTATTTTAGGTTTAGGGTAACAAGCGGTTTTTTCAATGTTCGTCAGAAATGTGAATACGCCATCAAGAAAGCTCGAAAAACCGGTGAAAAGTTGTGCAGTGAAATCAGCACGCCTGAAAACCTTGCTACTCAAATCTTCAGATTTTTTTGAAATTATTTTATCAAGAGGGCTATTCCACAGTGACGCTGTATTCCGAAAGTTCATACCGTAATCCTTCAGTAACGAAGAAGGATTGGTGGTTCGCTCCATACTCTAAATCTAAGTTGAATCTCGCTCTAAAGAATGGTACCTCAAGCTCGGCAAAAGATGTGAAAGCAAGAGAGTTATTAACAAACAATCAAACAGTGTGCACATCTTTTTGGGACACTCTGTATAAACCCTTCACTGAGTAGAGCAGAGATCAAAAGATATAAAAAGGAGTTCTAACAAAGTTAACATACGTGGGAAGATGATCACAGAAATGATAATCATTTTGAATAAGAGGACTTTTGTAGGTTAACATGGGAACTTGGTGGAGGGGTATACCAGTTGCTGGTCGCAATTATATTTTCATTTATATTTTATTTTATTTTTTCATTTGATCAAGGTGCGCCTACGAATCTTATGTGTAAAGATGAATGTCTGTTTGTCTGTCTCTGGTACGTATTCCAGATAGAAAATTCCGTTACTGAACAGATCCGACCAAACTGTTCACACATACACTTCGGGAGGGGGGGCAGGTGTCATAAGTCTGTCCTAATCCTAATCAGACCAAAATCGGCAAACCGCGGGTCTACGTCAAGCTTTTTGCTATCTATTCTCTTCGCTTTCTTCGAATGCAACGCAAACCACGCAAACCGCTAGCGCTACGAACGCGCAAATTTGACCAACGGTTCTGCCTGATTTCAGTTGGGACAGACTGTAGGCTACTTTCGTAGTCTTTGCAAAGACTGACTTGCGGGACTGGGTGTCGGCACAGCGGGATAAGTGAGTATTCTGATTAGTAACCGCACAGGAGACGTTTTCGTGCGAAAAAAAGTGTGATATAGGTCAGCGTGTTGAGTAATTCCAGTAATCCCCCTACATCGAAATTCATGCTCCGTTATCTCAAAAAGGTTCGTTCATGCATATAGTACCGTGTCCGAAAATAACTCAGTTCCTATGTTTTACGTTTAACTGGGCTTATCTGCAGCGCTAAATTCGAAAACTGCAAAAACCACGAGGACAAACTTTTCCCAAAGCCTCACACTTTGAATCTAAACGAGAAAAACAGTAATGCTGAGGGAGACGCAGATCCACGATAGGACCCCACGACTTCGACTATGTATGGGCATGCGTTTTCTGCTGCAAGACACGCATATGCCGCAGAGCAGGAAATTCACAACCCTTCCCCCCCCCCCCTCCACCCTAGAACTGGGTTCATACTGATTCCCATGTTCTGGAACTGTTCCCGCACAGTTCTCGCACTGTGCTGGAATGTGCGGGAATAGTTCCAGAACATGGGAATGAGTATGAACCCAGCCTAAAGCGTAAGTTTCTCAACCCGGGCGGGTTCCTCTCCCTTCGTGGCTGTGTTTATCAACAATCAGCGGGTTCGCGTTCGTGTGTTCGAAGACCCACAAACTAACAAAACTCACAACTGCTGCGGTTCGCTAACATGTTAGCTTCACAAGTCGCGTGAGTTAATCTTACCCACTGCGTCTATCCAAAAAAAATGATCATAAGAGCGTACTAGGACCAACCTCTGTGCAGGTCGCACTGTCATTATCACCTCCAGCCACCAGACTGTCAATAGCAGTCTCCACGCTGGCTGATTCCTCGACATTTACTAAAGCTTCTGCATCCTAAAAAAGTTCATCAAAATCAATTTCCTGGAATCACGAAGATGAAAAAGACAAACTACGACTAAGCCATTTTCTTGAGAAACCACCGACACTGCTGACTGATTGTACAGATCATGTAACTGGAAAATCTTTGCTCATGTTCAAGCTCAATACGTTGCAACTTGCGCTTTCATGTCAGAGTCTGTTCCAAACGCAGGCAAAAATTCATGTAATACGCACCAAACACGCTCCTATTTCGGTGAAGGCTTTGCGAGTGCACAGGGCTGGCGTTTTGCCAAAATATTAAAGGCAGCGTCCAGGCATATCTGGGCCAATGGGGATCTCACTTGGAGAGTAATCTTGGGGCCTAACTATCACAGCCGAGATATTCGCCTCCGAACTGGACCCCACGATCGCATGTCGCATGGATTCTCGCGCGACAAATTAGTTTCGCGTAAATTCTGCGCGAAGCTGATGTGTCGCGCCATGAATCCATACGAATACGACCCGAGATCCAATTTGGAGGCGAGTGTCTGTACTATGAGTTCACCATTTGTGTTGCCGCTTGGGCAGTGTCTTAGTTAGGGCCCCAAGATTACCTTGCACATCAGGACCCCGTGTCCAGATTTGTCTGGACGATGCCCCTAAAGAGGATGAAGCGACACCAAGCGGGTCACCACAATATAAGTACGTCCTGTCGTCGGGATACAAGCGTTGCGAGGCGGACTATAATCCCAATTTCACCTATTCCCTTCATCACAGCAAAGACTGAGCTTGCGTTCCATTAAGACGGTACGTGTATGAGAGAGACAGCAGCCAATCAGGAAAATGAAAGTGCGTTTGAACTGGGTGACGCCGGAGGGGTCCGTAATGGCGGGCTGTCTCTGCGCGCGATGAGTCTGCCTATACCAGCCTGTACATTGTCCTTAGGCCTCGGACATACCTTCACGAAATTTCAGTCGCGACGCGATTTGGCAGTACTCCAACTGCGTAAAACTCATTCTAAGGAATTCGAAATGTACAGAGGATAGGGCATTCTATCATTTCACAAAAATTATAAACGCCACGCATTGGTAGCCTGTCTACATTGGATTTGAAGAGATCTGGCAAACTGCCAGATCGCATGGCGACTGAAATCGCGCGAAGTATGTCCGAGGCCTTACACGAAAAAATATAACTATGTGCGATCTGTTGATGCATGCGTGCGCTTAGCCAAATCACAGCCTCAAAAATTCTGAAAACGTGCATGTCTGTTTTTTCCGCATGTCAAAAGATAATCCTAGTGAATGCTTACGATGATGGTTAGAACACTAGAATAAATTAACGTTAATGTAGAGCGCGATCGCGTAGTAGTGCTGAACTGCGGCTACCGAGATCTTGAGAAAATCGGAAAAAACTTATCCGTAGCCTGCGTAGCTAGAAATCTTCCGAACACACCTTCGTAGACCAAATTTGTTGAGAGATAAACCACACATCATAGTCCACAAATCAATGTGATGATACAAGTGGAAACTGCACTTACAGTAATCTGATGTAGCAAATCCAAATCTTGCGGTATTTCCTGGCTCTTCCAGTATCTTAGTTTCGAACGGGTCAACATTGGATGAGAGTTGATTGTAGGTTTCCTCGTATTCCTTGCTGAGGATCTCATCCGTTGTAGGACAGAATCATTCGCCTGTAATAACTGTTGCAAACTTAATTACTACAACCGTAGATGAAATGGACTGCGCAGACGAGTTTGTAACAGCTCTCGCCGTTCAACTGCAAGCATACTCTGTTTTGGCGCCAATTCAGAGTTTCGGCATAAGACTCGCAGCAAAGTACCCACTGCTTGAACTGCACTTCGGTTGTTTATAGAACTAACACTCTCTACTAAATTTTTTTCTCCCTTGATACCAAGAGCGGGAAAACGAGCACCACCTCACCGCTAGAGAAGAAAAGACCACGAAAAACTTCATCCATAAGGCACGCGCCATACTTGATCCGCTTAATCCACTTGATCCGCTTGATCCGCTTCACCACTGGTCAGTTCTGAACCAATGACGAAGCGGATCAAGCGGATCAAGTGGATTAAGCGGACTAAGTATGGCGGGTGCCTAAGTGGCAAGTGAGGACGGTCTCAGGACGGTCCTGCAACGACGCCAGGCTAGAAGCTCTGAAAGTCTTCAAGAAAGGTCATTTTCATGAAAATGAGCCAACGCATTGACAACCTAAAGACACTATCATGACTGATTGTCGTATCCTGGCACTAGCGAATTGATGTCGATGTAAAGTCGACTGCCGGACGAAGGCACAAGAGCAGTATAAGTTAAGAGTGCGCGAACGTGACGCGCTTGTACAGTGTGTTCCAATCCCAAACACGCCAAGATTGGCATGGCGGGCCGTCGCGAGAGTTTTGCGTAAGTCTGCCACTCCCCTAGCTTGTCCGCTCCTTCTTGAATCTGTTCGCTCGCTCCAGCAGTGCGTAAATGCAGCGTAATATTTAGCGCTGCAAACCCACAAATTCATGTCAACGGTTCAGTCTGAACCCTATTGGGACAAACTGTAGCTGCATTGCTGTGAACCCTGCGCCTCTCGCTTCCTGCGGGGTCCCGCGCGGAACTCTTGCTCAATGCACCCCCGTGCATGTGCAAGGGTGCGTATTTGTTGCAAATGACCGCGCGGGGCCGCCCCGTTACGGCGACATATAGTCGTCTACCCGTTTTTATACACGCCTTCGCCTGAAAGTAGACCTTACAGTGTTCTTGCAAGCGGCCAAATGTCATGCCCTTGATCTCGCCTCTACCCAGGTTATATAATACTTGGAGTTATGTGCGCAGTAGTATCCCACCATTCCTGTAGATTTACAAGGCTTTACAACCTGAGTGTCACAGCCGCCCCGCTCGGCCGCCACGCTTAGGTCCGCGCAGCGTTCGTGGCACCAGGCTGCGCGTCGACTGAAGCTTGGCGAAATCCGGGCGATACGCAGCAAACGCCGCGCGCGGCCTGAGCGAGGCGGCCGCGTTGGAGGAGCCGCGCAAGCGGAGGCTGTGACTCTTATGTTGAAAAGCCCTGTACATACAGAGCCCGTAAATTGCTATAAGATTTCAAACCCAATCAGGCGATTGGAGTGACGGGCGCCGCCTCATATAGGTCCACGCCTTTCGCATCTAAATACCCTAAAATCTCACAGATAAGTCCTCCCAACGGATAAGTCCGTCTACAGGTAATTTCGCTATATTGTCAGATAAGGTTCTTCGGATACGTCCGCCCTACACGTAAGTCCGTTTTCTTTGCATTAAAACTACTCTGAATTCTTGTCAGGTAAGTCCGGAATTATCTGTAGACGGACTCAGCTGATAGGAGGGCTGCAAGATTCTTGGCAGTGCGAAGGTGCATTTTCATCGGTTTTTCTTCTCAAAGAAGCGGACTTATCTCTAAGATTTTAGGGTATATCATATTGATCTGAAAACCTATGTATACGTCTCCTCATTTTCCTCGATCCCTATTTGGCAGTGGCGTACCCAGGATTTCCGTTCGGGAGGGGGGGGGGGGGGGACAAAAATTCTTTCTGATAAAGTGCGTGGCTTCTCAAAATTTTCGCGGGCCCATAACCCCAGAATTTTAGAAAAAGGGGGCGTGGCTTCAGCCACACCCCCTAAAGAATTTTAATAGGACTTGAACTTTTCAAAAAATTTGAAAATTATTTCAGTTACTTACAAGTATAGATAAGTCACTTGCACAATTTTATAACTCATGTAAGTAACTTTCAAAAATTTCGCAACCCATTTTCGGGGGGGGGGGGGGAGGGGGGGGGGGAGCGCCTCTCGTTATGCCACTGCTACTTGGCAATGTGCCAGCGCTACGCGCTCACATAGCTTCCAACGAAGCGGACGCGCTGTGCCGTATTAAATGCTTCAAACTACATCAACCCAGAGTATAGGATGCAGGAAAACAACCACAAGAAACTCCCCTGCTCCTTGTGGCGAGCATCCGATCGTCGCGGAATCAATGATCATTGCAAGTCACGAACGGCGTATAAACGGCCTCACTGAATGTCGCTTGTTGTGCAGCTGCACATTATACTTGGGTCCGAATCGAATAGAAATTCGATCATTCGAATAAAACATTCGAATATATTCGTAATCGAAATTCGATATCGGAGTTCTTCCATTTTCGAATAATATTCGAAACTCAATTAATTGAGTAGACGGGGTTTCGAATAAAATTCGAAACCGGGGTTTCGAATGTTTATTCGAATTCGTATTCGAATGAACTCCGTGTTCAAATTATTCGACTTTGTTGCGTCGTAAGGTCGCATTCTTTCGACTGCTTGACAGTAAAAAAATTATATGTGGATTTTAATTGGTGCTTTCTCGATCAATGAGATTGTTCGCACTGTTTTGGCACCAAATCAGCAAAGAATCTATCAAATTCAAGTTCATGTTCAGAGTTCATATATTGAAAGTGTTTTGAAATGCCTGTTTTTTTTCTTTGGATTACTCATGCTTGTGGTACGCAAAGCCTGCACTAGTCACTCTTGCTCGCATCTTATATATAAAGCTGTTTGTCTGTATGTCTGTCTGTATGTCTGTATGTCTGTGTGTACGTATGTTCCGAATAGAAAATTCCATTTCTGAACCGATCGGGACCAAACTTGGCACACATACACTTCGGGCCCCGGCGGGTGTCATAGGCTACTTTTCGTATCGATCGATATCGATTTTATCGATTTTTTGAATTTGAGCTACGGGGCTGGGAGTTGGCACAGGGGGGTAAGTGAGCATGGGGATTCCGAATACAATATTAGTTTTTAAAATCGTGCATTACTTTTATCGATTTTATCGATTTTTTTGCAAAGTTTGAGCTACGGGGCTGGGATTTGGCACGGGGGGGGGGTAATCGAGCATGCTGATCATCCCCGTGGGGGTGATCAGCATGCTCGATTACACCCCTCTGCCAACTCCCGGCCCCGTAGCTCAAATTTTGCAAAAAATCGATAAAATCGACATCGATCGATAACGAAAAGTGGACTGTGACACCCGCCGGTGCCCGAAGGGTATGTGTGCCAAGTTTGGTCCGGATCGGTTAAGAAATGGAATTTTCTATTCGGAACATACGGCGGAGCGGGTAAGCCAGCTAGTAAGTTATATTGCACAACTGCCTCTATTCGCTACTTTAAGAGTTTTTTTTGCGATTGGTGTATTTTGAGTAAAGGGTTTAGATCACCGTACGCGATTTGCCATACGAGATTCTTCAAATGTAACGCCGGTTTACCACAAATGTTTAGCGTGTACAGCTTACCAAAAAGATAAATGCCCTGCATTCTGTACTTTTGAAATAAGTTTTGGACAATTTGACGATTGCCAGACCATGTCGCCACTGAAATGCCTGCGGTATGCCCAGGGCTAGGGGCAATCGTGCTCGCTTCGCGGAATAAACCACATGCCTTCGTCCACGACTAGCTTATACCACACAAGACGAATGTCTCCGATAAACAGGCAATATATCGTAGCATTTGTGGCATTTGAGTATATATATGGACACCGTTGTTGCGGGGCTGGGAGTTGGTAAGGGGGAAAGTGCTGATATGGATAAAAATTTTCTTTATCGATTTTGTCGATTTTTGGAAAGTCTTGAGCCATGAGGTTGGGAGTTGGTACAGGGGGGAGGGGAGGGGGTAAATGAGGATGCTGATTAAAGCTGGGATTTATTTTATCGATTTCAGCGATTTTCAAAAAATTTTGAGCTAGGAGTTGGTATAGGGGATACGAGGGTGCTGATTATGAATGGATCGGAGTTATTCGATAAATAATTCGAATATTCATTCGAAATTCGACTTCCAATGTCCGAATATATTCGATATTCATTCATTCGATATTTTTGATTTTCCGAATTTATTCGGAATTCATTCATTCGAGAATTTTTGAACCTCGAATTTATTCGATACTAGCTGGCTTACCCGGCTCCGCCGTATCCGGACCAAACTTGGCACACATACACTTCGGGCCCCGGCGGGTGTCACAGTCCACTTTTCGTTATCGATCGATGTCGATTTTACCGATTTTTATCGATTTTTTTGCAGAGTTCACCTACAGGGCTAGGAGTTGGTACAGGGGGGAAGTGAGCATGGGGATTCCGAATACAATATTAGTTTTCAGAATTATCGATTACTTATATTGATTTTATCGATTCTTTGTAAATTTTGACATGCGAGGCTGGGATTTTGCACAGGGGCGTAATCGAGCATGCTGATTACGAACACAATATTAGTTTTCAGGATCGTCCATTACTTTTATCGATTTTATCGATGTTTTTGTAAAGTTTGACCTGCGGGGCTGGGAGTTTGCACAGGGGGTAATCGAGCATGCAGATTACGAATACAATATTAGTTTTCAAGATCGTCCATTACTTTTATCGATTTTATCGATTTTTTGAAAATTTGAGCTAGGGGGCTGGAATTTGGCACAGGGGTGTAATCAAGCATGCTGATCATCCCCTTGGGGATGATCAGCATGCTCGATTACCCCCCTGTGCCAACTCCCAGCCCCCTAGCTCAAACTTTGCAAAAAAATCGATAAAATCGATAAAAGTAATCGATAATCCTGAAAACCAACATTGTATTCGGAATCCCCATGCTCGATTACCCCCCTGTGCCAACTCCCAGCCCCGTAGGTGAACTCAGCAAAAAAATCGATAAAAATCGATAAAATCGATATCGATCGATGACGAAAAGTAGCCTATGACACCCGCCGGGGCCCGTAGCGTATGTGTGCCAAGTTTGGTCGGGATCGGTTCAGAAATGGAATTTTCTATTCGGAACATACGTACACACATACAGACAGACAGACAGACATACAAACAGACATTCAGCTTTATATATAAGATTCGTTTATTCGAGATTTTTTATTTTCGAATTTATTCGATATTCATTCATTCGATGAAAAATTTTCGAATTACCCAAGTATACTGCACATCAAGTACAAAGCCGCCTCAAACTACTAACAAGCTGTGATCATAAGCTATAGAGATGAAGTTTCCGAAGCATTTGTATTAGTGCAAAATGTATGTCAAGGTTCGTAGTATAACAGTGTCAGCAAAGAAGATGATAGGGAACTATCCACACTGTAGTTTCTAAGGGGTAGAGATGCGAGAATAAACACAACCTTTGAGTGAAAAGATCTCGAATATCACGAAAAAGAAACAATGCGGAAGGGGATTCTCTCTTTTCACCGCCACATATAAATGGAATGTAGCTGAACAAGCAGAAAAATGCATAATCACCCATAAAAACTGCATCATTTGTGCATACCTTATCAAATTCAAATTGTTGGTCACGTTTACCTTACTTTATTCTACTTTCTCTGAGTGAAGAAAACTTGTTACGCTCTAAGCGAGCTTCCGTACCATCATTTCCTCGAAAAATGAAAATACGAAATTTAGCATCCAACACTTTTATTCCATTCACCTCTGTGTTAGAATTCCCTTTTGGTGAAAGTAACTTTGAGCACGAAACTGACATCCAAATTGCTATTGGGGATTGGCAGGCGAAGTCTGAAGCCAAATTCTAATGAAATTTGACTGCTTGAGAAATCAGGAAGAAGTCGGAACTCCTTCCAGAGTATCCTGAAAAAATGCTGACTTCTTCACGCATTTGATGATAGAGTTGCCAGTTTGAGTCTGCGATCTAACATACTATAGGTGCGTTGTAAATGACCAAATTAATTTGTTATCGAGTTTTCCCTACATCTGGAAACAAGATTGGAAGCGATTAAGTATTTTTTCAGACCGTATGAAGAACTTACGCGTGAACTAGGTAAAAAAAAACGCTGTCGGCAACTCTCATTTCACTTTTTTGTCGCACTTCAAGAGGATGAGTCGCTTACGAAAAGGAGTTGTTTGCAGTAAAATATTTTTCTTTTCTAAAAAATTAGCTCAATTCGTCTTTTCAAAAGGAAGTTCTCTTCAAGGTTACATTGAGACATAGCCCCAAACCTCGGACCACTTTTCTTTGAAACTAGTGTCATCTATCATGAGTTGGTGCAATCTTGCTTCCTCTAGAATGAATCTTCATCAAGGTAAAGTCGGCTATCTTTACCCGGGGCTCGCTGACACCCAAAAAAAAGTGTTCATCATAATTCTGGAGTAAGCAAAATTCATATTCTATTTTTCTAATCTGTGTGACTAATATCCTGCAGTTTCGCAGCCTCTTGCAAAGTTGTGCTCATCTTTCTAGCTCTTCGGAGTGTTCATGCCTACCCTCCAGAGGGCGGTCCCAAGAGATTTCCGTCGTGGCGGGGGGCGGCAAAAATTTTTTTCGGAGCATGGCGTTAGCCACGCACTCGAGAATTTTTGGGGTGCTTTTCAAAATTTTTGCCTGCGTATAACACATAGAATTTAGAAAAAGGGAGGGTGGGTGCAGCTACTCCCCAAGAAATTTTTACGAGACTAATTCGAATTTTTAAAGATTTCAATAATTATTCTAATTATTAACATGAATAAACAAGTTATTTGCAAATTTTCATACCCATGTAATTAATTTCAAAAAATTTCGCTACCCATTTTCAGGGGGGGGGGGGCGCCCGCCGCCCTTCGGTCCGCCACTCCTATCATATCTGCGATTTGACTGGTTGATTTCTATGTTTCTGAAATTTCTTTGTTATTTAGCTAGGGGTGTATTGATAATGAAATAAAAATATGCATTCCACATCAGACATTCATATATGCAGTGGCCTTTTTTTCCTCGGAAAAAATCGAGAGAATAAAGGATTTCAATTTCTAACCAAAACAGTGTTTTCACACTAAATTGTGCGTACTAAAGGCCCAAAAGTAGAACACTGAATTCTTAGTCTTCTACAAGCGTTATTGTTCGAGAACATTGATTTTAGCATCAAACAACTAAGCAGTTAAACCTAGTTTAGATAATTCTCGAGAACTAACGCCTGTAAAAAGTTGTAAAATTAGTTTGAGAACAGCTCAGCATTGCTTGGGTGAAAACCTGTAAAATTTTATTTTCTCAATTTCTAGCATAGGAAAAATATGGCAACTGCATTTATGAATGTCTGATATGGGACGTACATGCGCAGCTAGAATTTCCCTGGATTTTTCTAAGAGTTTGTTTTATTGCCTTCAGACTTCGCGTGGATCAAACCTGGTGAGAACTACTTACTATCTTGCAAAGCCATCTTTGCTCTATTGGACGGTACCCTGAACCCCAATTAGAAATGAGAAGGGTGTGACTTATTGCGGTGAAAATTCCATACGGCCCAACAAAAAGGGCGGCATTCGTGACGTCATTGGGAAGGTAAAAGTGATGCCTCATGCTGGAATCCAACCAGCGACCTTCTGTTTACTAGACAGACGCTCTGCCCCTGAGCCAATGAGGCGTGATTATTTTTGCTTAGCAGGCTTTTGTAGCCTGGGCTCTCACTATGGCGTAATAGAGCATCAGTCTATTAACAAAACTTTATCCTGGCACAAACAAATCTCAGAAATCTGTGGAAAGCTGCAGAATACGAAAACCATTCGAATCTTCATCACTTCTTTCCAAATCTAAAATATATAAATTATAGCCTAGACTGTCAGAACAGACATGATTGAGCAAGTTGCAACGCAAAGTTCACCTGGGTCGTTGTAACTCGTCCATTGATCGCATCAGTGATGAGAGGTCACCGTAGGAGTTAAGCTGCTGCGATCTTCTTCTATACTTCAGCGGAGTTAGGTATCTGAATAAAATGCAAAATTTGCCGTTCAAGTGTAGCTCCAAGTAGCTTTTGTTAAAGCGAAGTAAGCACGCTTCAATTATTTCATTGTGGCTATGATCACTTAGTTGACTAATCTCAGTATTCTGTGAAAATCTGCAGTAGTAACCCGTAACAGATGCGGTATTGATCCCCTGTTGATTTGGAACATACGAGCGGCTCTAAAAAAATTAGCCCACTTTATATAAAAAATGTACCATTTTTAAGCTCACTATGTTCGAATAACAGTACCATTTCGCTGATCACGAGCAATCATATCCACTTTTGCAATAAATGTACGCGATCTGATCGATGTGAGACAACAAGACTGTTGTGACTAATCAGAAGGCGAGTAAGGCCTCAGGCATACTTTACCGATTTCTGTTGCGAAGCGATTTGGCAAATCGCCAGAAGTCTTCAGATTCAACACCAGCAAACTGCACATGCATTAAGTTTATAGCTTGAGTGGATTGAGAAAATTACCTATCTTTTGTACATTTGAAATGTGCCTATAGGGAGTTATGAAGCGTTGGAATATTGCTAAATCGCGTCGCGACTGCAATCGCGTGAAGTATGCCCGGCCCTTAAAGGCAGTGTCCCGGCAGATTCGGGTCCTGGGGGATATTGGTGTGGTGGGGTTCCTGGTCACCCCACCGACCTCCAGGCGCGGCCCGGCTGGGTGATGTTTCCTCTGGGCCGAGAAAAAGGCCCTTGAACCGGCGCGCGCAACCCCAACTGGCGCGCGCTCGGACGGCTGTCTTTGTCTGTTCGGCGCGGGACCCCACGAGCGCCCGCGCTCATTGTGTATGCTATCCAAAGCAAAAATTACAGGCGCCAGGTCTTCGTCTAAGGACCTCTCCCAACTTTCCATCAAAAATCTCGTCCGAGCTGCTTTTTTGGAATCAGATAAACGCCCTAAAATCGGCCTTTCCAGCCCGTTCAATGCTCAAATTCGAGTTCTACATGGCGAAAAGGCCTGAATCATGCAGAAAGGTGGAAGCGCAAAATCTGCCGGTACACTGCCTTTAAGGAATGGATATGATATTCATAATTAGCATGTCAAAGAACCTGGGTTTATTTCACGCGATTACAGTCGCGAGGAATTTAGTACTACTCCAGTTGTCCCTAATATCATAAGCATTTTGATTAAGCAGAAGATAGGGCATTTTATTACTCTACCAAAGTTAGACAGGCTATGGTTTTGTAGTCTATTATTTACTCTGCCAGTTTCGGACCCTGGTATCCGGCAAGTTGCGAGGTCGCATGGCGACTAAGATCGCAAAAAACCCAACCACATTACAGCTGCTTCTCAGATTTGGGCATCATAATGTGCGCTCGTAGCAGCCCCACATAAAGGCCCCATCATGCAGTTGATTACCATGGTCGGCAGGTCATACTTTTGCATGGCAGTACCTAATTATTCACTGCTAACGTTCAAGAGATGCCCTAAAGTATAATTTTTCGAGCAATTTAGTGCACTTGCGGTGCCGAGATTAGGCGACCAAATTTAAGCGTGGGCAAATAGCGACGCCAGGGCTCGTAGTAAACCCCCTCTATGTGGCGATGTAGGGGTCGCAACATAGTTTGCGCCGAGCGCGAGTCGCTACAAAAAGGGTCGAATCGGCGGCTATCTCTTATCATAGCCACCGGGTTCAGTAGAGGGGTGTCGGGACAGAAGCTCGTGCCAGAACTGGGCTCAGGAAGAAGGACATGGTAGTTTAAATCGGCGGCCATCTTCACAGGTCAAAAAGTGGACCCGTTAGAAGGTGCAATGAGGAGTCGTCTCAAAAAGCTTTACCGTTAATTATCTTACTTACTTAGATACTTAGATGGCCCGTCCTCACGTGACGTGCGGGCCCCAGTACAGAAGTCGCCATTGATCCCTGTCCCTCGCTTCGGACATCCACGATCTTCTTGGTCGTCGTCGGTGGCTGCGTCCACGAGTTCCAGGGGCAAGAATCGTATCCAGCTGATTTCTCAGCTGGTCCATCCGTTCCACGAACACGTCTGCCCATCTCGTCGGTGGTCTTCCTCGAGGACGTTTGGCTTCGCGAGGAATCCACTCAGATGTTCTTAGTGTCCATCTATCGTCCGTTCTTCTCATTATGTGACCGGCCCATCGGTGTTTCGCTTTCGCAACGTATTCCGCTGGGTCACGAAGACGGGACATTCTTCTCATATCCGTGCTGCGAAGTCCGACTAGATGTTGCTTGTGTCGGGTCATCTTCAGAAGACTGCGCTCGAGCGCTCTGTGGGTGGTCCTTAAAGCTTTCGACGTGGCTACGGTGTCGGCCCAAGTCTCAGCTGCGTAGCAGAGCGCTGGGAGAACGGTTGAGTCGAACAGGTGGGCACGAAGCTCCGGGTCCGTCAGTTGGTCGGTGGCTTCCTTCAGAGGCCCGAAGGCGGCCCAGGCTGCTCTTCTTCTCCTGTTAAGTTCTTCCCTCAAGTCGTTCTCCATGTTCATCGAACGTCCGAGATACACGTAAGAAGACGTCTCCATGATAGGGGTGCCTTCCAATTCCATTTCTGCATCTTCGCAAAGGGCGTTCTTCATGAATTGAGTCTTCTTCCGATTTATTCGCAGTCCGATCTTCTTCCCTACTTCGTTTAGTTCCTTCAGCATCGCCTCTGCTTCAGTGATACTGCTCGAGAAAAGGACGATGTCATCCGCAAAACGAAGGTTGGATAGGAATCTCCCATCAACTCGTATGCCTCTCTCTTCCCAGTTTAGTGACTTCATCACCCACTGCAAGGCCGCGGTGAACAGCTTCGGCGAAATAGTGTCGCCTTGTCGAACCCCCTTCCCAATTGGAATGGTTAGGGGGCGATGGAATAGCTGCATCGTTGTTGTACAGTCCTTGTAGCAGTCGGCTAGTGTCCTCACGTAAGCTGGTTCCACTCCTTGATCGACTAGCGCAGACAGGATGGCGTTGGTTTCGACGCTGTCAAAGGCTTTCTCGTAGTCGGCGAAGGTTAGGACGAGAGGCAGTCGGTACTCCCGGCAGACTTCTATGACCCTCGAAACCGTCTGGATGTGGTCCATGCAGCTGAATCCTTTGCGAAATCCAGCTTGTTCTTGGGGTTGGGCTTCATCCAGTGTCCTAGATATGCGTGCGAGGATAATCTTCGTGAAGAGCTTGTACAGCACACTCAGCAGGCATATTGGACGGTAATTTCGAAGATCTTCCCGTTCACCCTTCTTGAAAAGAAGGACGGTTCTTGACGTTCTCCACTGGTCGGGAATCCTCTCCTTCTGAAGGTAAGATGTCAGGTGCGACGCGAGAATCTCGTGTAGACGTTGTCCTCCGGCTCGCAGAAATTCGACGGAAAGATGGTCTGGTCCTGGAGCCGTGGATGTCTTCATGGTCTGAATCGCCGTGCGCACTTCAGCAGGTAGAATTCGTGGTGGTACTTCTCCAGTGGGAACAACGGGCATCGGCACGGGTGTTGATGAGCGGAAGAGGTTGGTATAGAAGTTCTTCGCGATAGATTCCATCTTGTATCGGGAAGAAGTCGGAGTCCCGTCTTCGTTCAATAGTGCAGCCAGCGGTACGTGATATTCACAGAGGTCCCTTCGGCATTTCTTAAGACTTCGTCTTTCTTCGGCTGCTTCCAGTATCTTGGCTTGCCTGTACTTCCTGAGATCCTCCTGCAAAGCAGTTCTGCAACTGGCGTTGGCTATCAGTCGCTCGAGATGGGTTGCATTCGGATCCTGCCTCAGAAATCTTCTTCTTTCGAGCAACTCCTTGGTGGTCTTCGAAATACGTTCCAAGTTCTTCTCAGAAGTCACTGAGGCACATTCTCCGCAGGCTCGCAATCCTTTCAGAAGCCGGTCGTAGTCGTACGTTGGGTCCTCCTCGATGGGCCAGTCACATCTTGATATGAGCTCCTCCAGCCTGTTACCGTCGTAAACAACTTCCTTCCTTCTCGCGGCACTGTGACAGACTTTCTTTTCCAGCCTTCGGCTGAGTCGTATCTTCGCTCGAAGGAGGCGGTGATCGGAGCCACTGCAGAAGGATGGAACTACTGAGACATCGAGCAAGCTCCACCTTCGGTTGGCGAGAATGTGGTCGATCTCCGCGTGAGTCGTTCCGTTGGGCGATTCCCATGTCCACCGGCGATGTTCTTTCTTCATGAAGATGGAATTTCCATGGAAAAGTCGTGCGGCGGAGAGAAGCCCAACAAGACGGTTGCCGTTTTCGTTCTGGAGCCCATATCCAAACTTCCCGATCCTATATTCCTTTTCTAGTGGCATCCCGATTTTCGCATTGAAGTCGCCCACAACATACTTGTAGAAAGACTTTTCGTTGCGGACGACCTCCTCCACGTCTTCGTAGAAAGCATCTAGTTCTGAGTCGTCAGCTGCTGATGTTGGAGAGTAGCAGTTGATGATGCTGATGGTCTTCTGACGTGGAGGGCGTAGTCGTAGGATGGCTAGTCGGGGTGATAGGATCTCGTGCGAATCGACAAGATGGACGATAGATAGGTGGACGACAAAGCCAACACCTCCCACGTTTCGTGATGGAACCTTCTCACCACGAATGATGAGTGTTCCATCATTCATCTGTCGCACGTCCTTCTTCCTGGACTTCGTTTCCTGCAGAGCGATGATGTGGTACTTGATGTGCTCTGCAGCGTCGAGAAGAGCGTGGAGGTCGGCGTTTGTGGAGACTGTCCTGGCGTTGTAGGTGCAGAGCATGAGGCAGTCTCCGTGGCGTGTCGTCCGGGCAGACGTGTCGTTTTTGTCCAATCCAAAAGGCGCCCTGAGGACCCTGACATCAGTCTTGCTACCACCCGGCGCCGTAGGCGGGATCCGATGTACAGGGTTTCTTTCTATTCTTCTAACTGGTAGAGTAATGAAATTTTTTTCCCCTACAAGAGCAGACTTACTAGGCCAACTCTTGATTTCCACGGGGCGATCGCTGACCCCGGGCTTGGAGCGGGGAGAACCGCCTAGCGACCTGAAAACCAGACGGCGGCGGATCTGGCCTGGCCGGCTCTTAGCTAGGCATCCGGCCGAAACCGGAAACGTCGAACTCCTTCACAGCTTGGGAGGCCCTGCCAGAGTATACACTCGGCTGTGCATCGCAGTTCGACACCCAGTGTCACCCCCACGCCACGATGAGGCGGCCGACCATTGTGGGGGCCGTTAATTATGACTGGTTCAAAAGTATCTCTGGACGCCTAAAATTCGTAAATAACTTATCTTGTGTGGTCATTCGATTCGTACATAATAAGAAAATCCAAATGAAAGAGTCTCGCGATGCACTTTGAGCATGGGAAGCGTTAACGCTAAGAATGCTCAAAAATAGCCGTAATTTCGAAAAAAAAAAACCCAAAAATTGTAGCAGAAAATGCAATTCTTTGAGGAAGTATAAGTTTGAACTTTTGCAAATTTATTGCTCTGCTTGATCTCCCATTTATGCTCCAATCTAAAGCATAAGTAAGCCATGTCTATTGATATGATTTCAAGTCTTTTATGTAAAAAGCAACGGTTGTTCCATAGTTATCAAACACCAAAGGTCAGATTCTTCAATCAGCGCGTCATAGAACTGTATATTCAGTACGTCTCAAAAAAAAAGTCAGTACCGTTTGATCGTTGATCACGACTCTTTTATTCTGTCCGCCAATTTTAAGGTAATATCTTGTAGAGTTGGCTTCAGCTTAGATTTGTCATATAAAGCAAATTACCTATCGTATTTCATTACTGTAAGATTACGTTAGTAACTTGTACGTGACGCCTTTGTCAGAAGAAAATTGTGTAGCAATTTTTTTTCGCATGTAGGCCTCACTAAACAACTCTTAGGGAGTTTCTCTGAGTTTTTTGGATAGTGTAAACACATTTTTAAGAGCCTAGCCCATTCAATCGGCACATAATAAGAAAATCCAAATGAACGAGCTCCGATGCATTTATAAAGGAAGCATTTGGAATTTGCGAACTTCACAAAATCAGCTACTCTAGCTAGCTCAGTGCAAGAGTTTTCAGTCTAAATATTATCTTTCAGAGGTAAATATCGGCGCGTAATTGTTTAAAACTTATTCCACGGTTCTTACGTAATCACGGTAATTAAGAGCGATCAATAGTGGCTTCCTACTTTAAATCTGAATTGAAACCAGTCCTACAGATCAGCACTTCGACAACGGTGAAAGTAAATGGAGCAGAAAAACTAACATACATAGTGTGGACATTTTTAGGACACTCAGTGTTTCATATTGATGTGTGACTTGACCTGCTATATACGAGTATGCGAGTACCAGTTTTTATCCAATCTGCCCGAGATCCGCGGCGGAGGGGGTAAGGAAACGACGGAAATCTACGAATGAATGGGCTTGGTGTTACTCACGCTTTCCGAAAATCTTGGGATCTTCCCCAGAATTTTAGTGCGCCTATAACTTCCGACTTCTCAAAATGTGAGTGGAGACAGCCAATTTTTTCTTACAACGAAGCTTATTTGAATTTTTGAAAATTGAAGAAATACTCTAATGATAAATAGATAAAAACAAGTTGCTAAGGATGATCAGCCTAAGATCAAAATTCGTAATCCGAAGTATTTAGAATTTATGTGCATATCTGCACCGAAGGGAGGAAGTGTGAAGACTAAATACATCTTCGGAGAAATGTTAGCGGCGTTTTTACGGAAATTTCCTGGAACAAGTAGTCAACGCCATGCTCTTCAATAAAGTCTTTCTGTTCTAGGAAAAGGTTTTTCGCAACTGCCACTGACGCCGCCGTCGCCCCGGAGATTACGGTCGCAATGAAAGTACATTTGATTCAATTGGCTTGGCTTCGCTGAGGCGGGGCTCCCTGACCTAATTGAGGCTAGCTAGTAATCAGAGAGCACCCGCGCGAGAGAGACGCAGACTGCGTCGCGGGGCGAGCGGCCTTAATTATGTCACAAAGCCGCCTTGCCGAAGCCAAGCCAGTTGAAACAAAGGTTAGCTACACGAGTCATGAAATTATGCGGTAGAGTTTAATTAACATGTAGGTAATGGAATTAATTAATCTAAAGATTCAGCTTCTAAAAGCTTCTGTCAGCATTTCGAGCTTCAAGTAAAAAAGTCTAAAACTTGATTGAGCTCATTTGCTGAAGGACAGTATAAAGTTGTTGGCACTTACTCGAGTAGTGGCTCTTCTCCCAAACTTCGCATCGGTGCGTTTCTTCCATTCGTGTCCATCTCAAGCGAATTTACAATTAATAAAGACAAAAGTGAGAAGACCGTCAAGGAATTCATCCTGAAGACAGACGCTTTAGCTTTAAGACAAGGACACAAAACTACAGCTTAGAAGATATATTCAGTGCAGAAGCCGAAGCGAAGACAGGGTAGAACCACTGACTGACATAGGAAATCGTATCCGCTCGTCAGCATGAGTGACATGGCAAAGGAAACATTGTAGGAGGATTATATGACCAACAAGAACATTATGTGAGTGACGTGAACGATTACTCCTACATTCTCTGCGTGGTAAGGTGTGTAATAAAGCCTAAAAGGCAAAAATGCAAGAAACTCATAGTTAAAGCGATCGAAAATAGCAGCATTTTTGCAAAATGCTAAGTGGGATCAAGATGAGATTAAACTTAGACTTCAATAAGCTAAATATCTGCATAATAAATTAGATAACTCCCTGTTGGTATAACTCTTTTGTAACTACTAAAATTGAAGTAGAGTGACGAAAAGAGCAAGCTCAAATAACGAATTCTGAAATGGTCAACAGATGAAAGAGGAAAAATATTGCTGATACTCGTTTGCCGGCAAATTTGGAAGACGAAGATATAATTAACTTGCTGCTTACCCTAAAATCCTATAGATAAGAGCGGTTTAATTTGCCGGTGAAAAATGAATTGGAATGAATTGAAATTGAATGCAGTCATCCCTCTAACTTGATGGATGGATAGATAAAAATCGGAAGAAGTTTAGAAGAAGTTCCGCCCCTCAACTCTAAACCCCGCCCACTCAATAAACAATTCATATAAAAATTCCGAAATTCTTTTAAATCGCTATTTTTCTTGTTTATTGAGTGGGCGGGGTTTAGAGTTGAGGGGCTGAGCTTCTTCTAAACTTCTTCTCCGATTTTTATTTATCCATCTTCAAGTTAAAGGGGTGACTGCATTCAATTCCAATTCATTCCAATTCATTTTTCACCGGTAACCGCTCTTATCTATGAATTTTCAAATCGACCATTTTCGAGTACATTTTTTTCGAGTATATCCGAATAAGTAGTGTTAAACTTCATTTTGAAGTACCATGTTTCACGAAAGGAAAAAGAAGTTTCACTTTACTACAGCTGTCCCTTCTCGCCAGATGCTGCACTAACACACAGCCAAAACTTACGACCACGGCAGGATTCGAACCTGCAATCTTCTGCTCCGTAGGCAGACGCGTTATCCATTGCGCCACGCGGCCATACTGCATTTCTCAAGGAATATTCAAATGCTCACCTTTACAAAAGCAAAAGAAACTTTGTTCGAGATTGAAATAAACGTGCTGTTACACAGACAAGATCCTCATTTTTATCAATCAAGAATGATTTGTAAGATTTCGAAGAGGAAAAATATGATTTTGGAAATAAAGAAAATTGATTTTGAAGATAAAGCAACATAAAAATAACCTTGTTGGCAGAATTAGAATTTATCAGCAACAATCTGTATTCCATCAACAACAATTATTTTTATTTAAAACTATCGATAAAGACTTATAGGTATTACATCCTTCATAAATAATTCCGATTAGAAAATGAATTTTCCTTATTCCATATTCCTGTCCCTAAACGCGATGGAAAAGATAATATTATTAAGGCGAAAAGACAATTCTGAATCATTATCTATTTGATCTGACACAAAAAACAGGGTTCTGAGATAGACTTATATGTACTAGAATAGGCAATCCTTATCGGGGAATAGCTAGGAATAGCACAATTTATAGGATGTATGGCCAGGAAGCGAAACTAACGCTTTGTCATTAAAAAAAGTCTAGTAGCAGTTGCCTAACACAGCTCATTTTATACAAGATACAGTACGCATATTCTACTACAAAAATAAACAGCATTTCTCTTGCAATGATCGCACTACGCAAAAGATTCTCTCAAACGGGAAGAGGTCCCAAAATAGCTTTGCCTTGAGTAAAATCACTCAAAGGTCAACGCTGTTGACTAAATGCAGGGTCAGATTATGCTGTTCCACATATGAACTGAATTCCAGAGGAGTCGCTTTTGCTAACGACTCTTCATCCATGTTGTTTGTCACAGAAGTAAGTCAACCAATGTTGAGCATCCTATTTTAGTGTTTATCCATCATGCACTATTTCCGTTTCAAGCCTGCAGCACTTGTTTTTACGCAAACAAACTAATAACAATATTATGGAGCAATTTTAGACCCATTCAGTCGAAAAGTTTGTTTTGCAGCTTACAAAGGAACAATCCTCGGTGTCTGTGGATTTTTGGGATGAAACGTATACCATACACTCTTCTTGAAACGCTGATTCTGAATCTGACTTCCGTTTTTGCCAATTGTTTCTCTAAAAGAAATTATAAAATTTTTTCGCGTGAATGGTCGCCCAAGAGTAATATGTAGCGGATGCCTAACTTTCAGAAAGAAATTTGATTGACGCAATGCAAAACTGAAAAACACAAGAGGACTCGAACCTGAACCTGCATTGACTTGGGGGCTATCTCACTAACCACTACACCACATCGTAGAGGAAGCGTTGGCATTTCGACCTTATTTCCTTTGGCGAAAATCCTTCATAACTTTTTTTCAGAGAAATGATTAGCAAAAACGGAAGTCAGATTGGAAATCAGCTCTCCAAGGCAAGTGTAGCTGTATACATTTCATCTTGAAAGGCCACGGAAGCCAGTATCGTTTCCTTGTTGAAGAATAATGGCTATCCGACACTGAAATTGGTGGCGCAAAACTTGCATCGGCCGGGAATCGAACCCGGGCCGCCCGCGTGGCAGGCGAGCATTCTACCACTGAACCACCGATGCTTGACGAGTTTACTTCCCTTCTTGGGAACACTTCTGATTATGAATTATACAAATTTCATACTTGAACTTTGTAGTAATCTTATCAAGTTTTTTAGTTTTTGATCCGTTCTGTTATGGCTACACTTTAAGAGCTGAAACGTTCCTACAAGAAAAAATTGTTAAGGCGTAAACTTCGTCAACTCGAATATTTTCATTCAACCTGAGCTATACCTTTTTCTAATTAAAAGATTACATTGCCACTAATCCCGCCAAATAGCCTTAAAATCTTCTACTGAATTCCTTTAACCAGAAGTGTACTAAAGGTCTTCCATGCTCGCTTTCGCTTTGTTATCCATTCATTTATTCAACAACTTTGCACAGGGAATACACAACGAGATCTTGTACAATGTGTAGCTGTAAACTGAAGTGCAACCAGGAACAGAGGTATTTAGGAAGATACGGTTTCTTTCACGTAACAGTGCTTTAGACCCTATAAAGAAAGGGTGCATTACAAATCGGATCGCGATAATTGGCCTTTATGGGGTAGAAAACAGTGGTTAGTCGTAGGACCCTCCGAATAGTATCACCAGTCAAACATACAATTCTAGCCGTCACAACACATCACAATACTCTTAAAAAACACTTGTCTTTATAAACCCATGTTAGCCGTTGATCACTTGCAACAATAGTGACTTCAGCAGTCTGGCCTCGTAGGTCACTGTATTCTTGATAGAATCAACCTGGCCTTCCATCAACGGACCATCGACAATTGTTGGAATGCTTCTTCCATGTACTGGAAGAAGGAGAGTCTAGTTGCAACCTAATGAGTAATATGTAAATTGACAGTTACCTTCGCATCGGTCCAAAAACTTCAGGCATTCGTGTACCACAGAATCGCGGATGACAACAAGGTGCTTTGACATAGTTTCTGAAAAAAAAAAACACTTCAATAGCTTCAGCTTCATGGCGAGAAAGTATTGGTTATTTTTTCCGTCAAAAATCTTGTAAAGTTGATAATAGTCTCTTTGAATCTTTGCAAGCTGCGTTAGAATAGACGCAATAGTTTCAAGCAAAACTACCTTTCAAATTGTCATAATATCAGAGTCAAAACTTCCAAAAAGACTTACTCCAAGCAAAATATACGAGTACATACCTTGATTTTTCTTTTTTTCTATGGGCAGGTGGCCGCACTTTCTATACTTATTTTATACACTTCTACACATTCTTCTTTCACTTTTCTTCAATTTCTAGCTAGCTTACTGTACGGAATGGATCAGGACAAGTTTTGAGTGATAACTATTGAAAATTTCCTGAAACCTACCTATGGTAGCCAAAAGACATCGTTTGGCATAGTACCAAGTATCTGTGCCCAATTTTCGCTCCTGTGGCTCCATGGCTTTGATCACACGGGAGATGCCAAATTCAAAATTACCCTAAGATTATTTCGAATTGTTTTGAGGTTTCTGAGGTTCTTCAAAGTATTACAACAATCACCTTGCTGCAGTACAGCGTTCCAATAACAAGGTTGATGATGCAGACATGGAAGATTTTACGATTTTCATCTATCTCTCTGGCTTCATCCTCTTCTCGTTCAACTTTTCGCATGAGTTCTTCTGCCTAGAAAAAATTTGTTAAAGCAGAAAAATAGGGCAAGACTTGCTCACCTCCTCGTTCTGGTTCGTCATGATATAGCAGACACATAAATTTGCCAGAATAATGGCTGAGACATCCAGGAGCTAAAAAAATCATACTGGTCAACAAATAATGTTTACTTACTCAGATATATTTTGCAAAACAAATTGGTTGGATATGGTTCGAAGAACCCACCGTCACAAAGTTTTTGCTCACTATCGGCTCATAAAAACCAGCAGCTTCTTTGAATTTTTGCTCCTAAAAATGAAAATTAGGTATATTGTAACTTTCATCGCTTTGTTGAACACTACCTGCATGAAGAGTGTGTGAGCCACATTCAGTTTCCATGTATCGTGTTCGCTACAGAATTCTACAGATTTTCTGGAAATATTTTACAATATCAAAAGATACTCACTTTAGATGTATCTTTCAGAGAAATTTCAAGGAAAAAACGCCGTAGAATTTTGAGCATCAACAAATCACTTACCTGAAGATCTTCTCAACTCTGGCATAATCTCCTTTATCCCAATATATCTTTGCTTGTGACATTAGTACGGGTAAATAACTGGAACAGGAGTTTTAATAGAAATTGGTAAGACAACAAGTGTTCTTCTCTAACTCACAGCTCAAGGGTCTCATCAAACGCTTCCACAGCCTTCCTAGCCGTAGTTTCATCGTTGCTTTGACGGATTTCCTCAATTCTTCCTCGATATTCAAAAGGACATAAAAGTCATGCAATTTTTTCCTTACCTGCACTTTCTTGGTAAGACTTCTTAATTCGTTCATTTGGTCATTGGCCATTGCATCAAATTTCGCATACGCTTCTTCTGGCGATGTTTGTAGGTTGATCAAGGCGTCAAGGTAGTCAAATTGGTACTAAAATTTCAACCAATACGTGATTTCCTTAATTTTATTTTCGCATAATTTCAAAATGCGAAATCACCATACCTGGGTAAGGTATTTGAAGGTTAAATGTGTATTCTCTGCCAGAACATCCGCAGCCAGATCATAATACTAAATCAAGTGATTGAGAGAAAAGAGAGATTACCGAAACCATCTCCAAAATTCGTTTTACCTACTTCATATTTGCAATACAGCAAAAGCAGATTCGCAAAAGTTTCAGGCGGAAATGGATTCTGGCTCAAAAGATATTGTAATTTTGCGAATCCGTCGCTCGGGTCGGTGTCGATTCCTGAAAACTATTTTACTAAAATACTCCTTCGGCTTGGTCGAGTAGGGTCTATACCAAAAGATTTTCATCAGGAATAGGTTTGATGGGACTACTCCTGTAGGAAATTATAAGGCTGAGGTACTCGAGCATTTTATTTCAAATGTTGTAGGCTAAAAATGCCTCTCTAAGAGAGTCCAAATTTCTTCCATTGCATTCATATTTCGTTGAAAACAATTTTCCTAATATATTTCATAAGATATTACATATGTTATTTACAAGGAAAAACTTCATTTACAGGGCTTTGGAGCCGGTGTATTCTGACCCAATCTTTAAATAATAATTATGCAGGGTTGATTGAACTCTGAACATTTGCGAAAAAGGAAAAGTTTGCTTCAAAATCCCACCAATGAGTGCCTGATTATGCAATGTAACCGCATCCAACTCTTCTTCACTTCGCGGTGGCATGTCCGTTAAAGCCTCATTTGCCGCTGTGTCTAAATGGAACCTCATAATGCAAAGAATTTGCTTTCCTTGATAGGCTCACAATTCTTCAGCTTGTACTCTACAGCAAATTTCAGATTCAGAGCTTCCACAAGTGAAGTTTCGTGAAGCTTCATGGTATTTCCAACCGAACGCAGATCCATGCCTTCCGTCACCATTCCAACACCAAGCTCTGCAAGAATAGATCATAAATAGTTGCTTCCGTTGCAAATTTTTTGACTTTGTTATGAATAAAGTACTACACTGATGGCACAAAAGCGATTTCTAAAAATGTTACTGACCCGGATGATCCTTGATCCCGCGATCCACAATATCGTTGATAAATTTCAAAGCCTGGGAGTACTCTTTCTTCCTATAGTGACATAGTGCGATTGCATAAGCAAGTTCGGGCTGTAAACAAAATAATCAAATCTCCTACTTGTATTTTCAAAATGGGATTTAGAAATTTTTGGAATTCAGGATATTTGAGTTGCTCTTACCTGATATCCCATGACAGAGCTTGCATTGTTGAAGCGTTCTAGAGCCTTGTCATAATCGCCGTCCTGGAATAAAGTTTATCACTCGCCAAAATTATCTATTTCTTAAACAGCCTTTCCAAGGCCGAGAGGTTCGAAGATAACTGAATGGATTTTTTGAGCTCTTGACCTACCTTTCCAACAAGTTAATGATGGTGCAATTTTTGCAACTGACAGTCAAAAATTTCAAGATTTTTGGTTACAAAAGATACAAAAGAAAGTTTTCTGAAGGCGATCCAAATCACAATTACCTTGTAGTCCAGACAAGCCAAATTCATTTCGGTATCCGGATCGTCAGCTGGATATTGCTCCACAAGAATCCGCGCGTTATTCAGATCTTCTTCACGATACTTGATTGCCGATTCAAGCTTGATGACGTCACCAAGCAAGCTTTGCTCTTCGATCTATAACAATAAGATAGTTATCTGCAAATCAGGTGGGATCTGGACACAGCCAGCTGCCGCTGTTTGGCGTCTGGACAATTAACCATCAGCTACCAATGCGAAGAAGCTAGGAAAACTAACCGTAGAGACTATTTGCAAAGCTTCTGGAAGCATAAAAGCATTGTATAAGGCTTGAGCATGGTAGAGTTTGTACTCGGGAAAGTTTGGAAACAGATCGGCTAGTTGAGCATATGCGTCCACTGCATTTATGTAGTCCTGCTTATATAATATATAAGACTAGAGAAATATTTTATTTGAGAAATTGTAAGTATGAGATTTTTTCCTTCAAAAATCTTTCTATGGCAAATCGGAGCACACTTACTTGGCAGTAATAGTAGCAATAACCCAGTAAGGACAGTGCTGCACGGTTCTAAAAATATTGATTGAAATAAGGATGTGTATTGATTTGCAGCATATCTAACAGTCAGAGCCAAACCCACTGTTTCAAATCACAGCAGTCTTGTATGAAAACAAATCTATAAAAACCCTTTCTTATTAGAAAATGAAAGTGTAACAAGCTTTTTATTTTGCCATTGGGGATTTAGCATTCAGTTTTTAGCAGGATGGATTAGCTAAGCTGTAAATGTGCTCACGAGAGGTACCGACTTTCTAAATTTTTTTCATCAATCATTGATTTAGTCAAATTAATTTTTTACATTTGATCAAGTAAAATTATACATGTATCAAAAATACAAGGAGAAAGTATCCCATAGATAAAAACGTTTAACTAAGTATTTTTGAAAGAATAAAAAACTTTTTAGGACTTGGAGCAAGATAGTTCCAACCTAGTAGAGCGGTGCTTACTTACATTTGGAGTTCGTTGTAGTTCATACTGAAGTACACGTATCGCTTCTGGGTATTTTCCTTCTTTTATCTGCAAATCATCGTTTTTACGAAGCCAAGTTGATTTTTCAAAGAAAAAATTCCTCATGGCACGTTTTTGGCCAAAAAGTCAGGAAACAAGAAAGAGGATTCAACCAACCATTCCGTAGATTGTACTAGTAAATTCTCCATCTTTTATGGGAGCAAACGACATCTGCGCAGCTTCTGTCGCTTGTAGTAAACATTCTTTTGAACGCCTGAAGCGGCTTCTGCGTCTGTTGTCACGGTAACTGAGGGGCGCCGGGGAGGGGGGGGGGGGTGGGAAGGAGCCATTGCAAACTCAAGGAAATGACCGCATATTGGGAGCAGTAAACTTCGAATATTGCAATGATTTATTTATTTATTTATTTATTTATTTATTCATACGCTCTATGGCGTTCCTTACAAAAAGAACAAAAGAAAAAAAATACACACACAGTAAATCGAACAACACCAGTCAAGGACCACCGTGCCGTTGGTTCCATGCCTTTAAATTAGTTAAGAAGTATGTTTGAATAGAGCTTGCATGTGACTGCTCTGGACTACAATTGTCATAAAGATGTGATCATGGAGATGGTATCATGGAGATTTAATGAAAGTGCTTGCATAATTCAGACTAACTTCACAAAGCCCGGAATGAATTCTCTTGTTCTGAAGGACAAGAAGGCCCAGGGATAGATTGATGCCTTTATTTGGTTGTGGAGTACAAGGATAACAAATACGGCATCAAAATTCCGTAATTTTCAATTACGTTCCAAATAAATGCAGAGAGCTACTAGCTAGTCCAAGCTATCAGTGAAAATACCCATGGCAGTGGACCATTGCTGCGACATGCTTTTTTCTCGATTTAAAACGCTAACAAAAAGAACCTTGAAAATCGTCGCTTCAACGAAAAATTTGCTTAGTAATGCTTCGTTGCTTATTGTTTATGCTCTGCTTTCAGAAATACAGTTGACATTTAACATCAAAATACGACACAATATTTTAGGTAAGCACTAGGCCAAGCTTCTATTCTTGAGACGTATTGTCGATAGTATTAGAATAATTATCGATCATTATTGTTATATTGTACATTATTCTTGTCGTTGACAAACCTTCCTAGCGTGGAACATTTAAAGGCACCGTCCACCCAAAGTGAGGGTTCACGAGATTCAATGGCATGCTAATGTGGGCCCCCACACTAGGCCAACCCCCAAGTTTCCCCGCAAAAGATTGTTTCCGGAGCGAGAAATCCGCTCTGGAAGTTACGTGATACGTGATCCAGAGGTGGTCACTCCGCCCATTTTGCAGCTTTGGGGCTGCGGCGCTGATATACGCCGGGCGATAACCGCGCCGCAGCCCTGTAAACTGCACTTCCACCCGTCCCGCTTTCTCCAAAATAGGGGTTTTTGGGATTCTCGACTTCATATTCGAAATCAGGGCCTTCAGAAGGCCCGGAAGCGACAAAAACATGGAAGTCGAGAATTTGGGTGGACGGTGCCTTTAAGCCGCCAAGGTCACCCCCATTGCTGCTTGATAGCACACTTGGCGGCTATTACTTTCATGTAAGCACCAATAGTTTTTGAGCGATTCCTGTATGATACTATTGTTTGCCAGAAGGAAGCATCCTTGTTGCGCCCAAAATAGTGGCATAAAAAGACCTGGATGCTCACTTCTGGATCGCCTCGCCAAATCTATATTTCACTGGATTGTTTCCCGAATAATAACACCACGGTATATATCTTAAAATGATCTTTTTGAGATAATTTTGTCACAGCATTTCGTGTGAGATTGAAAAATGTCACACAACTCATGCACTAACACTATGTAAGAAATTTTTATGTATGTTTTAGAGCCACCTAACCTGTAGTATTTGTGAGATAAAACTTAGAATCAGTAGATTGAAGTGTTGTATTTTTTAGGTGGGTACAAAACTACTGAGCGTCTCTTGTGCGACAGTCGCAAGAATCAAAAATCAAAAATACGTCAAGTATACCTTACAGGAAGCTCTACAAGATGACCATTAGATTTTCTCAGAAAGTGCCTAACCTCAAGATTGAAGCCAAATTCAAATGTTCAATTACCCAACAATCAGAACTCGCAAAAAATCTTGCGTGCTTTCCACTTGGTCTTCACATAGTAGACAGTGAAATGTTAGGTTGATGCAAATAATGGCCGTTTTGTGAACTATCACTTGGGCGCGCTCTAACTTCCTGAAAAATCCGCATTTGAATGCGATAAAAACCAAAAAGCAGCAAACCTTTTACAATACAACGCACATTCATCTATACTCATATCACAAACGGGCAGATAATTATGGATTGAAAAGCGAGGAAAGCTTTTTTCTAGAACCCTATGTTTTGTTAGTATGAATGGCAAGTTGCCTGTCTTGTATGCCAAGCCAGGACAAAAAGATAGAAATGGTGAAGAAGTTTTGCGAAAAGAAAATAAAATCAAAATCAATTGCCACTTTTTCAACATTCTTTCTGTACGCCTCACAGTACCAGATTATAGGATTTTATGATTTTCTGTGTGTTGAACAGTTAAATTTCTTTTGCAAGAGAAAAAACGGGCTGTTTGGACTTTTCTGCGAGAATACAAATTTCTGCTTACTACAAAAAACGCCAAAATCGATTGATTAGTCGCTATTCTCGATCCAAACAACAAGTTTTTTCCCAGCTGCAGTAGCTTATAAAACTTATGAACTGACGATTTTAAATTTTTCGCAACGTCCAGATTCTTGGTGACTTATCAAAATGATCAAAGCCTGAATGGCTTCTTTTTCCATTTATCTCTGCAATGAGTGTGTAGCAGAAGGTCATGAAGGTAAGTTTACAAAAAGAAGAATTTTTCTTGTAAGCTTACAAAAGAGCAAATCCGTCGACATAGCGAAAAGTTACAAGTTTTCAAAAATGAGACGATAGAACTTTGGGGGCAACCTATAAGCAACTCCAATGCTATGATTTCAATATTGGAATACAATCATGATGTACACAAAATAGCCACCAGACTTGGTATTTATCCTCGCGACAATGATCGAAAGAATAGTACGAAAAACTGTAGGAAAATTTTGTGAATGAGAGGAGCTGCAAGTGTTTGCCAATTTTATTGTTACCACATAATCGAGTACGCTGAGGTTGCGCAGGACCATACAAAGTGATTTTAACCCTTTCGTAATCATTTTTAGAATTTATTCTCTAGTTTCAGCTCCACCTATGAGTACCCACATAGTCCAAGATTCGTCCCCCCCTCCTGCTTTGCTACGACCCCTTTATGTTACAAAAAGTGCCTTTATTCGCCTTCTGCAATTTTCTCTCCGATATTTCCTGTCTTTTTTTCCTCTTCCCAATGATGATTCTCTGCGACTGTAGATTATTATCCTGTTCGTAATGTTTGCAGTGTCAAGGAAGAATTCGTTTATGAAGTTGTCACAGCCACCTCCTGCTATTTTTAATATATACGCGCATACAAATACTATGCCTAGCAGAAAGTAGTTGTCCCGCTACGAACATCAAAATATATCCCGCTTCAGGAACGTTGTTTTTAAATTGTACTTTCTTTTTGACTGGTTTACCACGGTCCTCTATGGGTAGCGATAAAATGCCAAATGATGCATACATGTTTGAGATGCTAAGCATTTATTCAAATTGCCTATTCAAATGTGAAAATACTTGGAGTAACAACATTGCTTAGCCTTTTGCGGAAAAGGTGTAACAAATTTTTGTGAAAATTGCCTCATTCGATTGACTATAAGGAAGAGCTCAAAATTGACAAGGGCATGGCTAAGATCACACCAATTTCTGAGGTCAAGCCAATATTTTGTATTGACAGCTTTTTTTTCTTTTTTACAGTGCAATGAATGAACAAGGTCATAAATTCATTGAATGAAAGAAATCATAGAATGCACTAACAGTGTTCATATCGTTTAATAGTGGAGCTTTGTTACTGTAATAGTTGATGACTGTGTTTCGCTGACCCTTCAGTGGTATATTGTAAAGTTGGAATAAACTTATATAATCAGTGCAAATTAAGCATCTGGCCTTTTTCGTTGTCTCAGGAATGTGCTAGGAAGTTAGTGCGGCCTTCACGGGATTTCGCGCCTGAAAAGTCCCACTAGGCCGAAATTTTTGGCTTTGAAAAGTGTATTCATGGAATATAAACATAAATCTTTTTTCTCGAAAATTTTCTGAGAGGCGAGTCATTTTGAAGGTCTATCCGCGTCTCAGTAAGTGACAAGGATGGTAAATTTGTTTTATGCCGCAAACATTAGACAAAGAAATTGCAGAGATGCACCTTTCCGACGTGACGGTATATCAGCGCTCAAACAAACGAGATTTCCAGATGCAGTGTAAAAAACTTGATGAGGTTTGGGTTCGAATGGGAAGATCCGCAGGGTTAGATGAGAGACTGATAAGTAGGTTAAAATTAGACAATCTAAACTGCCCTGGGTTTTACCATCTGGTGAAAACTCATAAGTTGACAGTGAGCGAGATCCACTCCTTGTCACCGCAAACGTTTGAAATTCGCCCAATAATCAGCTGTGTTGGCGGGCCCACGGATAGAATTTCGTGGTTTCTCAACAAGATCGTAAGCCAGCTACTCGCCAAGGTACCATCGCACTTGTCCAACACTTTTCAGTTCGTGAAACAGTTGCGGGATCTGAATGTTAGTCAGAACAGTGTCATCGAGTCGTTTGACGTGACATCATTGTACACTAATGTTCAGAATGATGCTGCACTGCAAGCGCTATCTGAAATGTTGGACACCCACTATTCGAATATGGTCACCTTTGGTTTGAGTAAAGCATGCATACTGACTCTCGTCAACGAATGCTTGAAATGTAACATTTTTAAGTGGTCTGGGAACTATTATTCTCAGATAAGAGGACTGGCGATGGGTCAAAGGTTAGCCCCAGTCCTGGCAGTATGCTTTATGAGTACGATTGAGGAGCCAGTCCTTGCACGCTTACCCCTAATGTACTGCCGTTACATCGATGACTGCTGCATTATAACATCGACACAGTCCGAAATGGACGAGTGTTTCAAGTTACTGAACCAGCAGTCGCAGTACATTAGGTTTACAAGAGAAATCCCAAAAAATGAATGGTTTCCCTACCTTACACCCAGATAAGTATATCTAACAGTGCCATTCACATAAAGTGGTACCGTAAGGAAGCCTCAAAGAACATCTTGGTGCACGCCAACTCAGCACATCCACTGCAGTTAAACGAGCCATCATTCGAAACATGCTCAAGACTGCTGCTGCGGTATGTACGGGTGAAAAAGAACAACGGGAGTCGAGAAGTTTGGCATATCGCGCGAAGTAATGGCTACGCGTCACCACAATATCACGGCCGTAAGCCTGCGAACGGTAGTGGTAGTCAAATTACAAAAAGAAATGCCAGCAAAATTCCTTTCTGCGTACCATTCATCTGCGACGAAGTCAGTACGGCAATCAAACAATGCATAGTCAGAGCCCAGATGCAAGATGATGTCATGCTTGTAAACATTCTCAATGACAACATCAAGAAGCAGTTATTCAGAAATAGGCTGTATGATGTAGAATGTGTATGCAAAAAATGCATTGTGTGTCCACACGGAAAAGTAGGTGATTGCACAAAGTCAGGAGTTGTGTACCAACTACAATGCTTAAGCTGCGATGCGATATATATAGGAGAAACGGGTAGAGCGCTATACGTAAGAGTCAGAGAGCACTTAGCGGATAAAAGACGAGGAAACTTAGCATCACCGTTGGGAAAACATAAGCTCGAGGCGCACGATAATGGTGATTTTGATGTAAAGTGCACGATTTTATCGTACGAGACAGAGATATCTATGAGAAAGATCATGGAAGCCGCATGGATTTCCAGCAGGAATCCTGGCATGACTAGCAAAAATGAATGTTTGTCTATAACGACCGACCTCTTGCCTTTCTCGTCGATATGCGAGCTGCAGCCTGCACATATGAAGACATCGCACGCTGAATAATACTCATTGTCGCCCGCTACTTTCGTGCGACTACTACTAACTTTCACTAACATCACGGTGGATCCAAGGTTCGTTCTTCATCTATGGTTTCTCAGTACGTTGTGCACGGGACAACGTCTGGACAAAGCAATGCCTGGTGATGGCGTTTGGCGGTTTCGCTCCGTGGATGAAAGAAGACTGCAATTTGTTTTCAGACCTTCGAAGGCGACAACTTAGTCGAAACGCGTCAGGTCAATAAACATTACCACCGTAAAAACCTGGTTCTGGCATAATATAACAGAAGATAATATTTATGGTTTTATGACCATAATCCTACAGTAAAAACGGCCAGTTACTCGCCTTATATTTGAATTCAGACTAAATCCAGCTTGACAAAATGTTACCTAAAATAATATCCAATAATATTATATTAGGTTGTTACATAAGTTTTGTTACACTCGACTGAAAAAATGCTCATAACTTTCTCAAATGATTTTTCCTTGCCTCCAAACTATGCGTAATGTTGCACATTTTTGATATCCACATGCCACACATGAAAAATCAAATTTTGGATTTTTTTTTTTGAAATTTTTTCGAATTATTTTTGGCAAATTTCCATTTTTGGTTGATGAAAAGTTTGAACTTCCAAACTGCTTCAGTATTACTACCAATGCTCCCCAAAGTCCATAAAAAATCTAAAAATGTGGAAAAGAAGAATAAGAGAATTTTTAGGAAACAAAGAAAAAATGATGGTTGGGGTTCCCCTATAGTGTTGATTTTATATTCACTGTAAGTCCTGTGGTGAGGGCATAAGTGGTGCCAGCAGATAGCCCTTTATCCCTTCCCCATATATGCCGGATATGAGGTCTTGCCGAATTTTCTAGAGTTTTCCAGAGAAAGGCGAAGAAAGTGTAACAAAACTTATGTAACAACCTAATAGTATAAATACGCCGAAAAGAGAGTTGAGGGCCGGACAGTATATAATATATTTTTGAGATTCTTTACAACATAGAAAACTCCAAATATTTGGACAAGATATAAATGTTGACAGTGTGTTTGGACATCTCGAAACAATAGATTATAGTGATGAGTTTGAAAAGTGCTTGTTATAAGGGTATGTATCGTTTGTTCGTTGACCGTAACGACTGCTGACCGCGCTGCGACCGCTGCGCGTGCATGATGTTTTCGTAGAAAAGATGAATAGAAAGAAAACAGAGGATTCTTCTCATCTTTATAATGTAGAAAAGAAACAAAGAATTCTTCTCATTTTAAGCCACGGTCCAACTTGTCACTTTTTCGCAAGTTTAGAAGGCACGCGTCGCAGTCGCCACGCGGTCGGCAGTCCGTACGGTCAACGAATGAACGATAAATACCTCATACAGGCGAAAACTTTGAAAACTATGATTTCGAGAAAACCTTGGCCAAGCATTTGGCTAGAGGAGAAAAAGAGATTCGTAAGAAAAAGGCATGAACGGGTATAGTGAGTAGCAACAATAAAACTTAGAATGCACTCTCAAAATTCCCTTTTTAGCTATGTACATACTGAACAAGTTTTTCATGAGAATCTTCTCCCAAGCTTAGAATTTCATCGCATCAGTACATTATACGGTAACTTATATAACGTATATCAAAGGAACTACAACAGAAATCTTTATTTATTTGCCAAAACACCCAGCAGAGATCAAAATAAGTCTTAAGTGCAAATCGCAGGGTTCGCACAATGACTCGCCCCCTCATAGGGTTCACTTTCGTCCAAACCTGAACGTAAAATTATTTTTGGGTCAACAAAGCTTTATTAAACTTATCACCTCGGCCTCTGGATTCTATCTATTGAACGCATCAAAGAAACGTCATCAAAGTCATCGAATATTGATCTCCTAAATTTTTTCAAAGATCTCAGCCTTCTGTGTAACAAGCATCAACAGAGGAAATAAACTAACTTACTTTGCATAGTCTGATACTCCGCTTCGTCTTATTTGATTGTAGCCACGGTGGTATGGCGGAAAATCGATGTAATAGGCATTAGTGGTAAGAAATGATAGCAAGAATGCAAATAATATGGAGAAATTCATCCCGGCAGCCTAGGAAGCTGAAAAAGTGATTTTTTTTTTCGACCCTAGAAAAAGCCCAGTCGAATTTGACCTGAAACGCGCTTGACTAACATGAAAACTTTGTGACGAAGTAAATAATGTGAAAAGAGATGATAAAGTTAGGCAATTTGTGATCAACAGGAGAGCACGAATTTAGCATTCCAGAAAATGTCATTAATCCAACTCTGCAAAACCTCATTGTATTGTAACCCATCCTTTTTGTTTGTTTCCATCAACGATACTAACATTTCCATTTGTTGCGCCTCATGCGGCAGATTCTGATAAGGTAGCTTAATATACCCACAGAAATGGACGAGGAAAAATGTGCAAGCACTCAAAATTGCTCGTATATCCAGGCATGATAGATAGACCACCATTGAAATTTGTGTACTCAAGCACTGCATATGCAACAACCTCTATTCTGATGCCATAATTCACGATTTTATTACCCTAATTTCACGCGTACAAGGCGCGGGGGATTTTTTCCAAAATTGACTAGCCCAAATACGCCAAAGAACTTTGCAACCAAAGGACCCTATGCCGTGCTGTATATTGCTTAAGAAAATCATGCGGCATAGAAATCGCTTTCCGAAATACTTTGGAGCGGCTGAGGGGCTTGATTGAAAAATCGAAAAAGGTGCGCCTTGTACGCGTGAAATTAGGGTACAAAATGCACTAACAAAGCTCAAGCCGCAAAGGGCGCTGGATGCTAGGCTATAAGCAAAAAGGCGTAGGGGCATAATAAGCACGGTCTCAAGCCTTTGCTGGTTTTAATCTACCGATCGGGTCATTTCTACAGGTAAATTGTTAGCTCTCTTTGCTGGTCTATATTTATTTCCAGCCACCTACTCCTGAATGGTGTTTGAGGTACATGTTCCAAAGGTTTTTGGGTTTTTCAGGCTTTGAGGAAAGCGCTGTAACGGCTCAAAAACATCGCTCAAGTTATAGGGCACATAATATGGGGTGTCTGGTATAGTTGTATCGAAATTTTCATCTAATGAACCAGTATCGAATAATTAATTTTCGGAAAATTCTCGAGCGAATAAATATCGAATAATTGATTGAGAATTGTCGAGCGAACGAATATTATCCGATTTCTGATTTTTATGTTATTCGAATTTGAATATTGAATATGGGGACACCCAAAAATTCGAACGACCGAGTTTGATCGAATATTGGACTATTCGAATAAACGAGTAACTGGGTATCATTGAGTATTCGAACGCAAAATTCGAATAATCGCATACAATATTCGGATATTCAAACGCAATAGTCGAATATTCGAATATTCGAACAACGGTTTTCAAAACCCATAAAATCGAAGAGTCGAATATTTCGAATAAATCATTCGATTACGAATATTCGGTTCCAACTATAGTGCCTAGGTAACATTCTTTCTTTGGTCTCCATTTAACAAACCACGATAATTCTTCAGGGTAATGTTCTTCCTCCACCTGTTCTTGGAGCATCGTTTTCTGCTATTAATCTTTTTAGCTTGAACAAGTCCTGATTTTTGGAGGTGATTTTGCAGCGTCAAAAGAATAAATATTCAGAAGGCTTATTTTTGAGACACCATCATGCCAGATTCCTTGTGAAAAGTAATGATGCGCTAAAGTTCATGTCTAAATAAACACCGTAATCACAATTTTGTGTCCATTTGACTCCTCATTTTCCACTTTCATTTTTGCATTACATTTCTTCTCTTTTGTTTGAGAGTGAGTACTTAGAGTCGTATGAGTTCGTGGAGTGAAGCGCTTCAAGGAAAGTGAGATTAAAACATAAAACAAATGCTGTATTACACCGGTACAGCCAGATTTGGTGACAAAAAGTAAGAGAAGGCGAAGAAGCATGGATCATAAAAGATTTCCCTAAAAAAGCCCATAGTGAGCTTGGAGATAAATTGCCAACAGTCGAGATGAGATTGAAGGCATATGATAGTCAGGTGCTAATATAATAACCGTCCTTGGAACTATTGGATTTGAGGACACAATATGAAAGCGAATGGATTCCCTTATTTAGATAGTTTTCTCACTTTAGGGTAGGAAAGCTTCAAAGTTCGGAAATCGAACTGAATTTATAGACAAATGACATATGTTAAGCAATCATCGTACAATTATGTTGTTGTGGGGGACTATTACATACTTCACTGCTACGTACTTGAAATCTCTCGGGAATTTTCCCAGAATAAGTACTATCCCATAAATACTCAAACAACGGTCAAACATCTATTTATGTTCTAAAAGAAGACATCTTTCTTGCCATAGTCGAACGACTCCTCTCAAACGGTCATTTCAAAATTGATGGGTTTACCAGAAAAATCTATCAACATGGAAAGTTAAGTGCCGAATGAAAAAAAAGGAAAAAAACATCTTTCAAATGAGACCAAAGTTTCACAATAAAGTTTCGACCCAAAGAAATCTAATTTTTTCAGAAATATGGTAAAAAAGATGTATGCGTTGAAATAATATTGTACTGAGACAGTTTTCCGTTAGTTCCGGCCAAAAACTTAAAATTTACGATGGACGCAGTCCGCCAAATCTACATTTCTACTTGAATTTTCAAATTTTGACAAGTTTCTTGCTCCCAATGTTTTTAGTATTAACTGCACCCGTAAGTAGATAGTTCACGACTTTATAAATAAGGATTTGCTTTTCTTGCAGTTGGAATACTACACCTAACTCCAAGGTGAGCTGAATGTTTAATTTTTCATAGAACGCAGACAAGAAAAAGACCTACTTTTTCATTTTCTCGACGGTTAGCGATGTAGTTATTTTACTAATTAAATGCCACTTTGTGAAAGCAACTCTAGAAGTTAAGCTGAGAATAAATATTAGAGAACTATTTTTTATTGGAGTAGGTGATGCGGCGCAATATTTGAGTCCAAAATGTTTTAGGGGTTATTGGACAAATGACCACTTTACCACCTACGTTTAGCTGTTTTTGAGCGTGGGATAAGTCGCTGAAAATTATAGAAAAACATCCCAGATATATGGATCGAGCCAGAAAGTATTCAACGTTAAATTTATAAGACTCTCAGGAAAACTGAGGAGGTGATGTAGAGCAGAATTAGCTTTACTTTCTACTCAGAAAATTTATGGTTTGATCTTTCCATTTGCTTGGCAATTTAGAGCCGTAAAAAGTAGTAGATGCCTTTTGTGTACCCGATTAAAGTTAGATAGACTAATTCGAAACGACTAACTAAGCACCTCCATTAGGTTACAAACTCTCTTCTACGTCACATATTGAATACAGAACTGACATTTGAAAGAGGAAGGGATGAAGCAGAAGGATGCGAAGCGAAAGGAATATAACTATATTTGCAAGATCTTACGAACTAACGAAATATATATTGAGCAGTTCTCTTATTCTACCGAGAGTTTGCTCAGTGTTTGACTCGGTAAACACCATGATATCACAACCAAAACAAAAGCAGTGGGCGTCAGTAAGCAGTGAAAGATGTACATACATTTAATTAGATTCCCTTGCTAATGCGTGCCATTACACATTTTCCAGAGTGCTGAAGATGGGTTGCTGACGTCCTGGTGAGAAATACAGGATTTGTAATCATTTATGTCTACTTGAAAACTACTGGGTCCAAACGACGGAGAAGCGGAAAAAATTCAGGAAAAAAATATCTAGGCCCCATGGGGATCCTCACCCGGGGAATATACATTTACATACATTAAAAAAGAGACCTACCCGACTGTATGCTAACTGCATTTTTTCGACAAATACTAGGTTGAAATCAGCAGAAGTCTTGTATTAGATAGTAACACATTTGTTATACTTGAAATAAAAAACCTCCATAACTTTTTTAAAGGATTTTTTCTCATCTCCAAAATGATTGATGGGCTGTAATTTTTCAATATATACATGTCACACGTGAAAAAGTCGATTTTGAATTTTTTAGAATTTTTCCGAATTATTTTTGACAATTTTCCAACTTGCGTTTTTGAAGAGCCTAGACTTTCAAACTGCCTTCATATTCGTACTAATGTCGCCAGAAATCCATGAAAAATCTGATAGCAAAAAGAGCGAGCGAATTTTTAGAGGAAAAAAATGGAGATTTGAGTGCCGTCATAAAATTGCCTTTATATTTACTGCAGTCCTATCTGTAAAGGTGGAAATGACGCTGTTAGATAGTCCTTTGCTCACTCTCATATGTGCCAAATTTTAGACTTTGTTAAAGTTTCCAGGGTTTTTTAGAAAAAAATGGAAAAAGTGTCACAACAATTATGCTACGACCTATTACAATAATTTTGTAAGCTCGTGCAATTTCTATTTTCAACGAATTTGTTCATTCCGATAGTGTTTGGAGGATTATTATCTCGCTTCTTCTAGCGCTGTTAGCGACAAAACCGATGCTAAGAACATGATTACAAAATGTTAAATTACCCAGTTTGTATACAGTCAAAGTTTTTGAATCTTCATTCGACCTTTTGAATCGTTCATTATTGGCTTTTTAACCTATACTACGAAGCACCATTTATGATGCATAAAGCATGTGTTTCAAATATTGATCATTTTTAGACATTCCTGAAACGATTTCTTTGCATTCCAAAGTGCAAGGTGTACACATAAACCCAATATCACCGGCCAACCCGGGTTAAATAAGGATTCTAAATATAGCGAAGGATGAACTAAATACTAGAGTCCGATCAGGAGCAGGTAATCTTTTGATTATTCAAAACTTGCAGCACATTTCTGTGAGATTTGAAACCTTCTTGCCCTAAACTTTCAAGTAAGCAATGCAGATAAGATGGTTGGAAAGAGCTATAAAAAGATAATTAATTTGCAAAGAGCTGCAGCAACGAAACCTCATTTCAAGCAATTAGATTTCCATACCCCTACCTAAGAATTTTCAATTGCTTTGTTTTGCAGAAAAAGCTGGTCTTCTTTGACAGTATGATAAGATGGAAAGACGAGACAATATTAGAGTTCCTGTAATTAATTCGTATACAGAGCATATGGATATATTTTCA